TATGATCCTTTTCCATCAATCTGCCGTTACTTGAACCACTTCTTGACGAGGTTACCTATGATTGCATATTGCTAAACGAGACTTTTCTCAAACCCTCACAAAGAGCAAATTTATCTGGATATTATTTTCAACACTGTTATCATTCATTGGGTATTCACTAGAGTAGAGTGGCTTTATGTATCGTAGTTATATTCCTTACCAGATTTATTGTGTTTCTCAGAACACTTATCCAGAATATCCCCTACTTAAAATTTACTTTCTATTCATAATTGCCATATAGTATTTCATTATATATCCTCCTGAAGTCAAGATACCACATGATTTTTATACTCCTTACATCAATACTTGCTTACATCAGTAATCACAGTCGGTCTCACTTAGAACTTGTTTAATTTTGGGCCAACCTCAGTCATATTTTAAGTTCCTTCTTATCACTTCCTTCTCTTAGATGACCTGAGTCTAATTCTACTCCAGGTGTTGTATTAGCTTTGGCTAATTTTGCTTCTCTTCTTTCTATCAGCTTGCTCTCTCTAGTAGGAACTGATCCCCTTCCCATCAAGGTTCGAATGAGTTGTTATATTTATGACCATTCTCATTGAAATAGATCTTTTTTTTTAGATTTTCGCAATGCTGGTTGGTTAAACTTTCATTCTTACGTCGCATTTCTACCTTTAGACTTCAATAACTCTATTTTCAATCATGTTTGCACATTGGTTGGCACACTCGAATTCTTAATTATCTCAGTCAGTTAATTACAAACCTCATAGTATTGTATTGATTCGTCATATTAAATCTATTGCCTCTCTCCTCGACATGTGTATGGGATTCCCAGCCTTCTGGGCACTTTCTAGTTCCATCTAGACGTTGTGATCTATAACGGACAGTTCTTAATTACGTTTGAACATTGAAGCATCAGAGATAGTATCTCCTGTGTATCTATACATTCTTCCCAGTACTGGACACAATTTCATATGTTGACTGATCACAAAAGCTCACAGCCATATCCTATTCTAATGTTACACATAGTTCCTCACCAGAAAGAGCAGATAATTTTGCCTCCTTCCTGGAATTACACTCTCATGCTCCTGATCAGCATCTGCTAGACAATGAAGATGTTACAGACTTCCTTTTCCAACTGGTCCTTCACTCCCAGAACGAACCATATCCCGTAGTATTGTTTTGTGAATACACCCATTAATGTTCTTGATATTCAACTGGCTCTCGGCAACAGACGCAACATTGTCCCTGGTTCTTATTCTAGCAACGTTTTACAACTTTATACTGTGCACAGGTGGTTTTTCCTGTTTCCTGAAAGAAGTCAATTATCTTGCTTTTTTCATACCCTGCCAAGCTTCCAGTACATGTTGGATCATATTATCTCATTAGCCTGACTAGTGTCTGTAGTACAATTCTCGAAACACATTTATTATAAACCATATTTTGCTCCCCAGTACTCAAGTTGACTTTCGCCATCATCTTTAACTTCTGCATCAACTTCTAAAACTTTCTAGCATCATCTCGAAACATTTAACGCATTTAAACTGTGATACATGTTGTTATTTCAATTTTAAAGGGATTTTCACTCTGTCTGGCACCTTGCTCTCATCTGTAAGCACCGTCATGTGGCACTCCAACTTCTTTTGTCCAGTTTGTACAATATTTTCTCGTGGCACTCCAACTTCTTTTGTCCAGTTTGTACAATATTTTCTCGTGGCACTCCAACTTCTTTTGTCCAGTTTGTACAATATTTTCTCATTAAATGACGGGCAAATGTCTTCATTGAGCGCATTCATTCTAGTTCCTTTTTTTATTTTGATGTAGGAGTTCTACAGGGCTTTATTCTCTCACCTGTGATTTACATAATACATATTGCTGGTATGCCCTAACTACATCTCCTATCCATCTCTTTCAATATGCCGATGACACAGCACTCGTTGTCATCTGCAAGATAAGGGTTAACTTTAACAAAATGCCACAGGCTACAGTTAACGTCTTCTTGTTTTTTAATCGCTGCTGACTTCTTACCGTTAATGCTAGCAAAACCAAAGCTTTGTTCGACATCGACATAAGTTACGACCATGTCGAAAATCATTATTCTTTAATACCCGAATCAAGCATACTCCCATACGATTCTACATTACAGTCAAATATCTTAGAATCATATCTAACATGGAGAGTCAACTTGGCGGCTCTTGAATAAGACGTCTCTTCCTGAATGCACCAGCTCTGATGATTGAAAGGAACTTACTAGGGCCTGAATCCACCTCTACTTTTCTGTAAAGGCTTCATTTGACCTTGTCTGACTTGTGGCCACAATATAAGGATTTCTACATCAGCCCCCTTTTGCCTCAGACTACAGATTCTGAAGCGTCATGCCCTAAGGATAGCACCAACATACATCTACCTAGTCCAGCTGTATACTATATTTTTTACTATCAGACGATCTTGCAAATACAAATGCTCCAATGCAGAACCTACTAGACTTCATCTATCCTGAGTTTTATCCGTTTGATTTATGTTTCGTTGTTGTTAAAGATAATGATAGAAAAAAATGAAATAAATAAAAATATACAATACAAAACTTAATAATATAAAATCTTCACTGTCCATTCTCATGCCATATTTAGTATCATTTCCTATACATCCATTATGATCAGTCATCACTTCTTTCTTTCCCATCGTCTGGTCGAAAAAAGGGCCTCGTGGCTGGAATGAAATCGCGTCTTACCTACTACCTTTTTTGATTTGTCCTTCTCCAGAGTCACTTACGAGGGGTAGATTTCCTCAGAATCGGTATAACTCATTGACAAGTGGTAAATCGAATGAAAAATTGGGTTTTGTGTTTACTTATAGTATTGAATCCAAATTGTTTCGTTGTGTGTGTGTGCCTTTACTTCTTTGAAATTCAACTGAATGTTTCAACATCCTGTAGCTCTAGTTTGGTTATGCTACATTTAGTACGTTTCTAATCTGCAAATCAGATCTAAGGGATTCATATGGAAATATAAACTATAGAAAGAACTGGCAATTGGTTGAGACTGGTAAGAAAAGTATTATGAAATAGTAGCTGTATAGTCCAGGAGTTTCCAATTCACGACCCACCTGAGTTACCAAGCAATTTTCTTAGACCCATGCTCAAGTGGTGGTGGTGGATATTAGTTGATCTTGTAATATATTTTAGTTAAGCCAATATTTTGTTTATTCAGAAGTATTTTAGGATCATTATTTTACAGAAAAGGGGTTTTACTATGTCTTGTTTTGCCCCTAGCTGAAACATCTTATGACAAATTGGAAACAGGTACAAAATAACCAAATTTCTCAAGATATAATCGTATACCTATATAAAGATGATTAAATAAAATATAGAACATAAAAGTAATTCCTGAATCAGGTTATTTCAGGATGAAAGAGAGCTGGTTTGCTAGATTTTATAACTACAATATAGAAATTGGCTCCAACTGCATAGACAGGTAAGTAGCTACATGTTGTAGGCACACTCTAACAACTCTTTAGTAATCAGTCACTCAGTCATTCTAGATACATAAACATTAAGTCTTTCATCACACGTTTATTTATTGAGAAAAGTTGAAAAACTGTTTTACACATCAGTACTGACGAGCTGGGAACTAAATACTACAGAATAAGGTTCACCTGTAATATCTAACAAAACTCGTAGTGGTTGATATCGAGATTGTCACCTTTAATATGTAACAGAACTCGTAGTGGTTGATATCGATATTGTCACCTGTAATATGTAACAGAACTCGTAGTGGTTGATATCCAGATTGTCACCTGTAATATGTAACAGAACTCGTAGTGGTTGATATCGAGATTGTCATCTTTAATATGTAACAGAATGTTTCAAATTAGTAAAGAACTCGTAACGGCTGATAACCAGATTATCACCTGTAATGTATAAAAGAACTCGTAATATTTGATATCCAGATTACCACCTCTATTATGTAACAGAATTGTTTCCAATCAGTAAAGAACTCGTAATGGTTGATATCCAGATTATTATTTGTAATATGTAACAGAATTGTTTCACATTAGTAAAGAACTCGTAATGGTAGAGATCCAAAGAACCACAGTTTAATTGGATTATATATAAGATAAGTCGTTATTCATTATCGTTCACTAAATTTGTCCAGATTTAAAAATGCCTTTCTTTCATATGACTGCATAGTAGTTTATTGTGTGAACTTTCAATATGAAATATGGTACTTGTTACGTTCAATATGTAACAAGTACCATATTTAAAGTACATGTAGTTATTTTGTAGCATCCATAGACTATTTAGTCGAGTTGCCAGAAAAAAGACTTAATATTACTGGGTAACGTTGTTCCTTTTCGGTGTGTCCTTTGCTATATCGTAAAAAGACATAACTGGGAGTTTAAACTCGGTAATTTACCAATGTTGTGAAAATGTCTGTTTTAATACTAAAAATGAGCTTGAAAGCGTTTAATAAAGGAATATTAGACGTTATCTAAGCTTCACATATATATATATATATATTCCACGCTTTAATGTACGAAAGGTTAAGAATGCTGTAACCGTTCAAAATTATTTATGATTTACGACATTCAAGTGTCCCTTAAGTCAGAAGTCAAAATAATAACCATGATAAAAACAGAAAATTTCAGCGAAACAAAAGATGTTGTTCTTCATTTAAGAACATAATTTACAAGTACTTATTCGAAAGCTGAAAAATTACAGATATATTTTAAAGTCAACAAATGTCAAAATGTAAGATTTTACACTGAAAACTATAATCGACCATTTAATTATTACTTGCTTCACGATGCGAGACTCGTGAAAAAGTGAGCCAGTTAATATTCTTATGATTTACTACATTTCAAAATTATAGAAGTGTTACTGAAATTTTAAACTAAATTATCCCGTACTCTGTGAAAGTTTTGGATATATTAAAGTACTTATTAAATTTACTACTATTCCCATTACGGTAATTTAGCCTATTAAGTTTAGCGCTTTTCATTACCTGGTGTCTCCTCTGTAAATAGGCTTATTTTTCAAGGACTGCCAAAATGTGTAATGGATTTTGTCAGCTTTAACCCGTTTCAAAAGCTCCCCTTCACAACTAGCCTTTTCAAAACACATTAATGTAACAGTTTAGCGCTTTTCATTACCTGGTGTCTCCTCTG